GGAATGCACTCAGGAGCGGAGGAGGGACATGTATGAGGTGGGGCAGATCCAGAAGCGTTTTTACTTGAAGGTTTTAAGTTTTAAGTTTGGATGCAACTGAGAACATTGAGAAGAAGAATGTCCAAACATACAGGGCAATGAGTACAATAAAGTGGTATTTGTTCAAGTTCTGCTTGTTGCCAAAATCCCTGATGTTGTGTGCCAATCCATATTTCTCCCGGAAAAGGTAAAGTATTATCCCTTTCTATCAAAATTCTGGCTTCTGAAGGTCGAGTTAGATTCACTGTAGGCGTGTCAGTTTTGAGGGGTTTACCGTATACCATCGCTAAAGCGAAGAGAAGCTCTTGATAAAAAAGGTGGATCTTCAGACCTGGGAAGCGGAGCCAAACAGGAATGATAGGAGGTTCAGTATGGGGTCAAAATCCACCGTCCATTTTAAAACTTTCATCACCTGGTTTTCTATTCGAAGAAGTCTTCTCGCAAACAAATGGGTGTAGTCTTCATCATTTGATAATTGAATCAGAATGTGGCGACCATCCAATTTATTGATCTTCCAACCCCCTTTCAGCTTCATTTGTTCAAAGTCCTTTCGAATTAGTTCAAGTTTAGGGTTTCCATAAAGAAACTTACCTACTAAGAACAGTCGACAGGGCACAGCTAGGGTGGAGATTTCTGCCTCAGTAAGAAAGATTGCAGGTTTGCCGTTTTTACGGGAAGCTTTTTTGAGAAATCCAGTTTCAATGCCAAGGGCAAAATTGTCATGGTATCGTTGCGGAAACATATTGGAAAGAGGGTCGGAGACGGGGTTATCACTGGCGAGGGCAGCGTCGTAGGAACGCCCTGATGCCATTTCTATCGATCGGCACAGACGCAGTCGATCGACACGCCGCAGTTTCTATCGATCGGCACAGACAAGCCCTGTGTTACTGGCGCGAAGGAACGTCGCAGAGAAGACAAGCGCAGGGGAGTGAGCTAGCGAGCGTCGGTGGACGACACAGAGTGCGCGCCTTCTCTGATGCAATCGACGCCGCCAAAGCAATGGCGATCGGGGGCAGATCGAAGAAAGGGTTCGCCATAGGGCGGAACCCTAGCAGAGCGGCGGGACGACGACGACGACGACATGAAGCTATTATGATATATATATCTCTTGTTATTATATATATATATATATATATATATATATGCACGCACACACACGGATACATATGTGCGCATACCTACGCAGACGCGTGCACGCACATGTGATTGAAAAGAGGGCAAAATAAAATTGTGGAAGTCTTTCTGTCTGTCTCTCTCTCTCTCTCATGCCATTCCGGATCCTTAGAAAGGTGTTTGAGGATTGGATTTAGTGGCTTGGTGTTGTGGAATGGCTACATAAGAGAATATATGGAGTTAATGGAGTTTGGAAGGGAAAGCAAGAGTTCTACTGGGAGAACTAACAGTTAGCACGACAAACAACGATACCATTTAGGCACATAAACCAGGGGAGATTCAACACTTAGTCCAAAAGTTACAAACACCACTTGCACACATAAAAAATGATGTCCCTCCTTGGGGCCTAAATTAGAGAAAACAACCTCTCAAATGCACAAATCAAAAACATAAAATTGTCCAACGGGTTCTAAAATAACATACTTATATTAGGATTAGAAATTAAACCCTAATTATAAATTAAAATGAGGCAAATAGGGCCTATCACAACCCAATAGGCGGGAATTCTTCTGCTACAACTATCGTGGGATGGTAAATCTTATTCCCATGAAGGTTTGTCTCAAGTTGGGATAATACCATCTTTCAGAGCATGGGACTTTTACTTGTCACTCTCCATAGATAGAAGGGGCTTCACCCTCTTCTTTAGAATCTTTTGTATTCTCGTAATATGGCAACAAGACATTGACGTTAAAGGTAGCAAAAATATTGTTGTTTCTTAGCAGATCAATCTTGTATGCATTATCATTGATCTTCTTAATAATCCTGAGCTAACAGGTCTCCGAGAGAGTCATCTAAGTTTGTGGCATAAATTATCAAAAGTTTTCCCAAGATAGGGGCTGTCAAAATAAGAGGCATCATTAAGTTGGGTTGCCAGCTCTAAGCTTGAGCTTTTCAAATGCTCCTATAGGAAATCTACTCTTCTTCAATCTTCTCCACACCAGAAGACCATAATTTTCTTGGATTTATTAGCTTGCTTTTGATATTTGGTGTTATGCTTGACAATTTTTGTCCTCAATTGCTCATGCAAGGTCTGAATTTATCCCACTCTAACCTTTGCATCCATGTTTCTCAAATGTTTGTTTTGTTAAGAAAGCTGCTCTCTGTAGTTTTTCTCATACATAAAAAATATTTTCTCTCTGCTAGGTCAATCGATCGGATGTTTCAGATCTCAATACATTTGCATTCTTGCTACTTGTCAACACGATTAAGATAGATCGTGTGGTTTTTAGACAAGTAATCAATTAATAGTATGTTTAGGATATTTTTCTATCTGCTTTGGTTTTGATACCGTCTTTTTACCGTTGGAATGATCGACAATTGTTCTCAGTTTTATTATTATTTTTTCAAAATTTTATGTGGGAGTGTGGATCAAAGAGCACAAATGTGGGGCTCTAGAAAAAGAAAAATATAAGTAAAATAAGTCAAATTAGTTTGATGTCATTTGTCTTGTTTCAACAAATTATGAGAAAAATGTTTCTCTTTTTTTTTTATATTTTGGTGATGAAACATGAAATTTTTTGGTACTTGTAAGAAGAAGACATGTGAATCACAATAATGAACTAGTGTTGAATGGTGACTTGTTAATAAAAAAAAAAAAAAAACATTTGTTCAAATCTCTTTGGCAAATTCTATTTTCTATTATTTTCTAAATTACATACAAATATTTTGTTTATGCTAATATTGGATATTAATATAAAAGAAGGAAAAACATTAAAAAATAAATAAAAAAAACTAAAATAAAAAGTAAGATTTACTTACATGCCCTTTATTTCTATGTATTTATATATCTCACCACCTAACATTCAATTTTTACATAAATAAACCATCTTACATAAAAATACAAATTCCACTCTTTAAAAGTTGAAATAGTGATATTTTTGTTGTGATACCAAAGACCCAACATGATATAAATGTAAAAAACAAAAAAGGTATAGGCGCTAAGCATGTAAATACATAAAAATTATGGGGCATGCATGTTAACTAACTGCCCCAAATGAAGATGGTTACATAATGAACAAAATAAAAACAGATAATGGTGAATTGTTTGTTTGATGGGATGGAATACAGAGTTCATGGTGTTGGTTTCAGGAATGAATGGGAGCTAATGGCAGGTTGAGGAAAATCAGTGGTGTATGGCCTGCAATCTGGACTCATATGATTATGAGTCCCTTCGTATATGGTTATCACGTAGTTTGAATCGCTGCGATCTCTCTCGACTCTCTTTTTGACCTCGCAGCCTGTGCTCGAGCATCTGTAGTAGTTCCTGCAGCCATACATCATCAATATATTTGATGAGGAAAATCATCAATTTTGGTTTTTAGATTTTGTGGAGGAAAATATTAAGTCCTGGATGATGGGCGTGCGGACGACGGCGTAAATCCTACTGTACTAAAATTTCATATTTATATACATTACAATCGAATCTATAATTTCACTATATATATATATATATATATATATAAAGCTTCGAAGTGAGATATGTAAATGAAAGAAATGTGTGCTTTTTTTTTGACTTGCTAGGAGCAAAAATATAACTATATATATTTAAATGCAAGAGCCCTCTTAAATTTTCCCATGGTTCTAAACATATACAAATTGGATGTGCTGAATTAGATCATTTGTTCTTCTTTGTTGTTATGCATGATAGTTACATCATCTGAGTTTGAATGTCCCCTTCGCGACAATATTCGTAACTAACATATGATGTCTACTCTAGAAGTGAATGAGTAGAAAAATTAAACTTGAACTCTTCTTTTGTGATAAGATTCATAATGTGTGGGTGAGGTAAATTCTAGTGATGAAGTTTATTTTCTGAGAAATGAATCTAAGATAACTCGGGATGTTATTCGTCTTTATTTCATATTCTTTTTGGCTTCATAGAAAAGATATGAGAACATCGATACTAGTGAATGCCTCAACTCAGTCTTGTCAAACAATATATATGTTGCACGTAAAACCCAAGTTAGATCCAAGAATTTGTTTGATACAAACTTGAACTCAAATATCGAGGACCGACAAGTGAAATTAGGTAGGTCGTCAAATGATGAGAGCTAGCTCAAACTCTCATGCCTAGAGGATGAAAGTAGACCAGCATAGCCGCTCGTAGCTAGACGACAAATCTAAATCAGTTTGACATATCACACATAAGAAATTATTTCAAGGGCTAAGGTGGTTGGACAACCATACTACCTCATAATAAGCCATATAAATTAACATCTATTCATTCATTGAGAATTTTGTTTGGACCTAAATATACAAAAAAATAGGAGGCCATGAAAAAATAAATCAAATCTTATTGTTTTTCTCCCAAAGAAACTACCACTTCTATACCAAGCTTTTCCTAGAAGTGTTTTTATACTTTACTCAGAAAATCTATGCTTTTATACTATATATGATTTAATTGAACTTGATGTCTCTCAATCCTAAGGGAAGGCTCTCTGAGGCTCCATGAAAAACTTTGGATTCAATAATTAGAAACTGAAATTTATTTATGAAATATAAGACTTTTTTCGTTTGGCCTTAAATTTGCCATGGAATCATTAAAAATAGAGAAGTGTTTTATTATTATTATTGTTATTATTATTATTGATGAGTTGTTAAGAAGTTTTCTTATTTGACATGAATCTCAAGATATAATGTTCTAGATTCAAATTAAAGAACTTCTAAGTTATCGATTTCAGTATGTTTATAGTCGAACTAATAGTCTTAATAAGACGAATCAGATGATACCGAAATTGGTTCACTCTGAGTCCAATCAAACCCAGATTAAACTATTAAGGCACATTTGGTAATTTTGTATCGTCAATTTAATGATCTAATGAACTTCAATTTTGACATATTTATAGTCAACCAAGCATCTCGGTGACAAGAATCGAACGAGCCCAAGTTTGTTTAATTCTGAGGTCATTAAAGCCCTTAAACCTTTAAAAAAACTCATGTGATCAAGGGTGGTCAATTTGGGATGTATGATCAACTAATTGTTAGGGAAGTTATTTGTCAAATTACCAAAATATCAATCTCCCAGAGGCTATAAATAGAATCCTTATCTTCAAATGAGGGAGGAGAATAAGTTAAATTTCAATACTTGGCTCAATCCGACCGAGGCAGCATGCACAACCGCCCATCACTAATGACTTAATCTAATACTGCCTAGATAGCCCGTTCAACCATCCACTGCTTATGAATCAACATAACTCGACACGGGTAGCCTATGCAACCACCCTTCACTCATGACTCGAGTTGACCTAGGTTGGTCAGCGCACTCAACCACTCACGCCCGCGCTCCACTAACCTAGCCCGGCTCGGTACTCTCCACAACTCCAGCACAAGCTATCACAAGTACAAGCACATGCCTGCTTGCACCAGCTTGTCCCTGTATGAGTCGTATAATATGTGCCTGCGTTCGTACCTTCATGCATAACCACTCTCCTTTGTTTTTACGACCACACATATGAGCCCGTGTATACTTGAATACACCTCTAAATCCCTATCATTGCTCTATAACCACTACCACCACTGGAGCAATGTTGTTCGACAGCCACCATCACCTTCAAACCACAACTACTCTGCCTTTGTGCACCATAACGTCAACAACTTGATTCAAATTTCATGGAGTACCCAGAACGACAAAATTCTCATTGAGATACGAACTTTTTAGAATGTCTTTATGTTCAAACGACATAAATAACATAACCCAAAAATAGGGGCCAACTAATAAGTCAGTCATAAAGTTTATCATTTGACATGAAACTCGAGGTATTTTTTATCAAAAAAACATTCTGAATTCAAATTAAAGATCACACGGGACCTCAATTTCAGCAATTTTATAGTCAAACTGGTCGTTTAGATAATACCATAATTGGTTTAATCTAAGTTCAATCAAACCTAGATTATGCCATGTAAGCACCTTTGGAGGAATTTAGATTATTAATTGAATGGTTACATGAACTTTAAATTTGACATATTCATAGAAAAATCAACCATCTCGACAAGTGGAATCCAAAGAGCCTAAGCTCGTTCATTTTCTAGAATATTAATGCACTCAAATCATTAAAAGTTCAATATGATCAAGGGGGTCAATGTGAGTCGTCCGATCAAGCGATTGGAAAAGTTATTCACCAAAGGATCAAAATGTCATTTTCCTAAAAGTTATAAATAGAACCTCCCTCTTCAATTGAGGGGAGGAGGAAAATAAGTTCAATTCTAGTGTTATTCTGGTCAGAAAACCCGATGATAACTTTTAGTCTCCATAATTACCGACCACCATTGACAACCGCGCGTTCACCGGACGCTGTCCACTGTCAACTACAGCCGACAGCCAATGCTCGCCGCTGTTGGCAAAATCTGCTTGCTAATGTTATATCCCAAATATGTCGTGACACATAATACTCTATTGAAGATTGACGATAACTCATGATGACAATTGTTTACGATCGTTAAATTTAGAATACAATGACTTCTTTAGATTTTTGAAGTTTTTTCTATACTGTATACAAACAAGCATTGTAATTAGTATAAAGTTGTAACCCTGCTTTCTTAGTTGTGAAAAAATAAGGTGTATAATTGTACTTACATGCACATATGATAATACTCTATTGAAGATTGACGATAACTCATGATAACAATTGTTTACGATCGTTACACTCAGAATACGATGACTTCTCTAGACTTTTGAAGTTTTTTTTATACTGTATACAAACAAACATTGTAATTAGTATAAAGTTGTAACCCTGCTCTCTCAGTTGTGAAAAAAAAAAAGGTGTATAATTGTACTTATATGCACACTTATAGTGGATTACTGTGATTGGGTGTCTTCTCTTACTACTCTTCAAATTTTTATATGGAAAAAAAGTTGTATCATTTTTTCCCTTTTCAAGTTTTTCCATGTAAAAAATTCAGTTGTCTTCTCTTACTACTCTTCAATTAGTTGTGCATGTGTTGGATCTTCGTGCAACACTTAGACAGTAATTAATCACACTACTACTATAAAGTTTTCGGCGCGCAACAATAATCATGACTCACCTATTCTCTACGCTCTCTTTTCATAAGATACGAGAATTTAAGATCTTCTGAACAAATAAAACAAATGTTTATACACTAATTTCTTCGCAGCCAAAACGACATGATTTAGATGAAAGGTAGGAGCCTTCTTCTTCAACATCCAACTATTGCCAACAACAACTTTTGGGTGTAACTGAAGACGATGTAAGAGCCCGTATATTTATTTTTTTGCTTCTGAAAGAAATTAATTTTTTCAATTTACATGATAACAATCAGAAGCTTTGAGTGCTCTTCAAAATAACTATGATCACCACAGACCATTGCTTGCTAGTTGTTGTTCGTTCCACTTGCGACCACTATCATACATGGCATGCATCGATTTATTCAAATAAAATTATAAAAAAAAATTAAAAATATAAAAAGGTGATCCTAAATGGCTCTAATAATCTTGTCAATTTATGTATTTGATACTTAGACGATTCAAATTTGCCTAAGGTTAGATTCATTAACTCGGTTGTATTATTATTGTATAGCAAAAATGAGTCAAACTGAATCTCTCAAGGGGACTATCTAGCCTGGATGACCGACTAAGCCTAGAGGACTGGCCGACAGCCTGAATGACCGATCAAACCAGCCTAAATGTTAAAAGTCCGGATGATGAGAAGTCTATACGAACAGAAGTCTGAGCGACCAGCAACCTGAATTAGCCTAGCTAAAGATAGCCGAGCCATTAGCCCACTTCTGTAAAATACCCAAAATAATCCATATAACCCTTTTGAAAGCAAAGTTAGAGATGCAATTTTCCTTCATTGCACTCTCTTTATTATAAATATGAAGGCCAAACATATCGCACTTCTCTCTCTCTCTCTCTCTCTCTCTCTCTCTCTCTCTCTCTCCTTCCTTTCTAGCGATCTAATCCCTTGAGTTGTGGTCCAAGAAAAAAATTCGATTCAACAATTATTAATTATAGTTAGTCCTTATTAGATAAACATGCAAAATAATTGCCATTTATTTTAAATTCCATTCATAAACTTCAATTCACCTTTTAGTAATGAGATGGCTTGGAAAAAATTGAATCGATTTAAATTAAATTAGAATAGTTTTCTATAATCAATAAATTTTCAATATTAATTAATTCAAAAAAATCACATAACTTAAAAAATAAATTTTGATCGAATTAAAATCTTATTATAGACCTAGTGGGTCCCACGAGGTCGTTGTGATTAAATTTGCTCTATATATAATCACTAAAATTAGCTTAAAAACATATATTAATTAGCACCCTAATTAGGAATGCATACCTTGGATTTGGGCTATTCTTCACAGCTTTCTTCCCATATTTCCTCCACTTGAATCCATCATCCAATACCTCCACCTCAGACTTTGTCCTGAACCCAATCCTACAACCAGCTTCTGCCTTCCTTCTCTTCACCTCCTCATATTCCCTTCATATTACAAACCCCAATATAAATGGCCACAAACATAAATAATGATTTACATACATACACATATGTATTTACATATCTAATACCTAAACTTCCAATTGAATGATTTGGGTGGTGTAAATGTTAAGAAGTAAATACTAGATGTTGGATGTGCAAATACATAGGATTTGGTTGATATGCATGTAAATGCCCCAAAGAAAAATACATACACCCAAATCACATAAAATGATTAAGTATATCTTTTATATATGAGAACTAGCTATTACTTCATATTCATAAGCATAATAACAATAAGGGAAATTTGCATTTATATCACATAATTCTTATATATTTACATATATACTACCTTAATTTTACATCTACTTTCTTAACACCTTTAAACCATATATGAATAGATGTATTTTACATTTAAAAAAAAGTAATAAAAATGATATTTTTTATATGATATTAAGACTTTATATATTTTGCATGTATAAATTTCATAATAACATATGAATCTATAATTTCATGATTTAATTACATAATCACCAAACATGACCCAAACTAACCAAATTATCTACATCCACCAAAATATACTTTAAATGCAAAAAAAAAAAACCTTTTGAAATAACTAATTTAATTACATAAACAAATCAATTATATTTCCACGGAAAAATAACTGCAAAATAAATAAATAAAAATCACATCTTGAACGTACGTACATCTGACACTCATATAAATCGCCGCTCTCCATCATTCGAAGCATCGGAGCTTCCAACGCTCCATCGAAATACTGACAGGCGTCGAAATCGGAAGGCTCGCCGCCGGCGATCGCCGGCGGTGATAATAATTCTGCGAAATGAAGAGAGGAGAAGTAGCTGCTCTTCTCATTGGGCTGCAGGAGAGCCGCCATTAATGCTTCAGTGCAGCTATCGATTCTGATTTATATAAATTGTAAAATGATTGGACGGACATTGGCTTTCCACGTGGCAGCATGCAGCTCTCACGATTTCTATGTGTAAGTGTACCCGAATGTTAATGATTCCACGTGTCAGTTGGTGGAGCGTTTGCGCCGGCGGTGCCTGGGGGTGGGAGTTGGGTGTGCAATGAAGATACCATGGGGGTGAAGTGAAATTTCTGGGATGTTGCCAGGTGTCAATTTCATAGTGTGTCCGGATGGAGATGTTGACCTTAAGAAGTGGAGCCACCTTGGAGTCAATGGGTGTGACGTGAGTGGATTTCCATCCTCATGCTAATGCAAAAATATTACATGTGCATCCAAATTTTGTGTTTCATATATATATATATATATATATATATATATATATA